TACCCAAACCACCCTTCATTTCCTTCATGCACCGCTTCACCAATTAACTTGCTCCTATGAGGTGAGGAGGACTCGCCATAAGGGGAGGACAACGCACCCCAAACCATTTCACCATATCTCCATTTCACGAACTCACCATTTTACCAGTTAGTTTGGCCCTATGTCTAAACCCATAAACAATTTCATCATTGCACCAACTAATTAGATTGGCCCTATCTTTGAACCCATAAACCCTTTGCACCATTTCACCAATTAGTTTGGCCCTATGTAGAATCCATAAACCATTCCATCAGTCAGTTTGGCCTTACCCCGTAAACCATTTCACCAATCAGTTTGGCCCTAACCCAAAAACCATTCCACTGTTTCACCAATTGGTTTGGCCTTAACCTACAATCCATTTCGCCATTTCACCGATCAGTTTGGCCCAGCCCCTAAACTATTTCACGAACTAGGTCTGACCATATGGGGAAATTAATGGTGAAACGGTGAAATAGCGAACCGGCCTGGCCTCTGGGGGAAATGAAGGGTGAAATGCTGAAATGGTGAGCCGGCCTGACAATATGGGGGAACTGAATGGTGAAATGGTGAAGTTGTGAATGCGTGCATTGCTGTGCGAGATCACGAAATGCAGGGGGGGTATATAACATGACCCATATATATATATATATATATATATGTATGTATGTTGTGTATATATATATATAGAGAGAGAGAGAGATGGAGCAGCGCACACATACTGCGTCCCATGCGCGACAAGCTGCAGCGGGAAGCGTGAAGAGTGCTGGAGATGCTGCCGTAAGTTATCTCGGTAAAGAAACAGACATACCGCACGCCATCATATTCCACCACCGTTCGCTGACATGCCTTGCAGGCAGAAGCGAAGCTGTGATAGTGAGCTCTAAGGCACAATCCAAGCAAAAAGAGAAACCATTATCATAAAGATGGGTGTCTTCTTTGTCGGCAGCTTCCGGGCATGACAAAGCCACAGAAAAGTCGCTGCAGTCGACCAGCTCTTTGACCTCATCACTAATTTCACGTCTCATTTCGAACGCAGCCATGGAACCTCATGTCCGCCAAAGTCTCCACAGAACAAACTGTGACCAGGCACATCTTTGACTGGCAGGATAGCTTGCTGCCCGTTTCCTTGGCAAAATCAGGCTGAACCACCTCGATGAGGGGCTTTCATTTCTTCGACGAAGAGGCATTCGCACATAAATCATCAGTCTTGCAGATCCCTACATTGGATCTGCAAGGCTGACTAGGCCCTGCATCTACGGTCAGGAGCCGTGTAGAGAGCGCGCAGCTTGCTACATTCCAGGACCCTGCCACCATGTGTCGTGCAAGATTGCCCCTTGGCCCCCCATGTTGTAAAACTTGCGAGCGCTGCGTCGATTTCGCGCCAACTACCCCCATACACTTTCTTGGAGTGATAAGCCCTCTGCTGCGCAGAGGCAATATGCCAAAGACTCTGATTCTACCTCGCAATCTCCGTTTCGGACCTGCAAAGATCTGCAGAGGCCGAGGTCGAGACTCGAAAGCGATGCCAAAAAGAACGGAAAACACACAACAGAAAAAACAAAAGCAGCAGTACAACGGATTGCAACAGCCAGTCTCTCGATTGCACAAAGCTTCTCAAAAGCTCGACGGTCCGTGCTCCCAGCGATGAGCGCGAATGGCTCACACCAATGGCACCATCTTGCTTCTGAATCAGCAAATCGTAGACATCAGCTGTACCTGGCATTGGCTGCAATCGCTGGATTTGCTGCAAACCTGCTAAGTCGCTCGGAGTGCCGTAGTCTTCAATCGCTTGGCATTTGAAGATGCAGGTGACCAGAACTGCCAATGACAGCATTCCATTGGTGTATGTATCTTGCAAACTTCCGGCTGAAGCTCCGCTGAGAACAGAGCCAAACTGCTGAGGCAAAAACGTAAGGCGAGTAGAGTCGAGTCGCTACCTTGCTCCCCGTTTCCCGCTCTCTGAGACCAGCCTCACAATTCAGTTTTCTCCAACTCGCTCCTGCCCCGTGCTGCGAAGCGACAAGACGCCCTGGCCGGGCCTTTCTATGTCCCAATCCAGATGAAGACTCCTGCACAGCTTCTCTGCTTCCGGCCTTCCGAGAACACTTGACAGTGTCCTCAGACTGATAAAGTTTGGTCGGACTGTGTGGTCAACCATCGATCTCAGCATCTCTTCAGCTGCCCTGCAATTCTTGGGCCGTGCCTCCACACAAGCTTTAAAAAACAGATTGTACATGACCAGGCCGAGTTCACCTCCAGTCTCACGAAACCTCTGCTGCCAAAACCTCACACCATCAACATCTCCAATGGAGGCTCGCCCTTCCATGAGGATGCCAAACGTGACCTCACTGGGCCTGCAGCGTTGGGACATGCTCAGGAACAGATTCTCTGCCTTCCTAACCTGCTTTGCTTTAGCATAGGATTTCATGAGGGTGTTATACTCGATCTGCTGCGGTTCACCCATTTTGTTCGCCGCTTCCCACCACCATTCTGCTCTTTCAACATCGCCAGCAGTCGCCGCTGCATCCATCAGCATCCTCAATATGCGGCGCTCGACTGGAAAGCCTGTCTTCACCATTCGTACGTACCAGGCTTCGGCGGAGTGCACATCTCCAGATCTGGCCGAGACATGAATCAAGCTGCCGTATGTCAGCTTACTGGGCATGACAGAGGAGCGCTGCATTTCGCGGACGACAGATTCAGCTTTGGATACTGCATCTGTCCCTGTCCCAGCAAATGCAGAAATTACAGAATTGTAGCTGATCGCATCTGCAGAGATGCGGTTGGCTCCCATATCCTCAAGCCAATGCACAGCCGCGTCTGCCTGCTGAGTGCGCGCTTGCGCGTTTAGAAGGGCATTGTAGCAAGGCTGATTGGGATGGACCGTCGCAGTCTTCGCCTCAGTAAACCAAGCCAGAGCCAAATCTGCAGCGTCAGCTTCGGCGCAAGCAGCAATGACAGCTGAATAGACAAAGGTGTTGGTTTCAACCATGTTGGCATCCATGATTGCAAGGAGCTCGCTTGCACTTGCCACGTCCCTTTCCGCACGGATGCCGACAACAAAGGTTTGTGCATCTGGTGTGAGCCTGCGATCAAGCATCCTATCTATCCAGGGAACTGCATCGACACGTCCATACTGGGCCTTTACCGTGATGAACACAGATAAGGCCTGCTGAGCTTCAAGCCCATGAGCAATGCTCAAGTCCACAAACTTTTCCGCCAGCGATATATGGTCATGCTCAACGCATGTACAGATAAGACTGCGCAGAATGTAAGGTCGCTCCTTCAATCGCGTACTTTGGACCAGCTGCTCAAGTATTGGCTCGAAGTCGAGTACATTCAAGCGCAGCCGGCTCTCTAGAGCCAATTCTATCCACACCGAGACCTTAAAGTATGTAAGCGGGTTTCGAAGGAAGGCACTGCAAAGAGCTGCAATATGCTTCGACTGAGGTTGGCGAAATGTTGCAGCCGCCGCATGTTCATGCACCCATGCGACCATCCAAGACTCTGCTTTCAGCACATCAGTTTCGGACAACTGATCGCACATTTGGCCTCTCAAATCTCCCAAGCCGTGATATCCAAGCTGCAGCAGCTGGGCCAGCAGAAGTTCTGCTTGCAAGGTGCATCCTTTAGCCAAGAATGCTTCGAGCAGTCTTTCGCTCGCCCTAAAAATGACAGATCTGGCAGCCTCATCGCGCAGACTGTGTGAAATCAACCGCTCCATGAAGATTTCGGCCCGAAAAAGACCTGGCCAGCTTCCTTCTTCGACGTAGCAGCTGATGATCCGGGATGCAAGCTCAGCAGTGCATAAGGGCAGTGCTCCCTGCGTTTGGATCGCTTGAAGCATGGGTTGCAGTTGGAGTTCTGCAAGATGAGGTTCTTTCTGATCGCACAGCTCCAGGATCTTGGATTCCATCTGTGATAATGACACCACTGACTCACGGCGCCACGTACGCAGCTGTTTCAGAGCCCTCTCTGACGGCACGGCATACATCCACTCCTTGAAACTAGGTACTCCAGCCTGAAAAGTATCATGCTGAGACTTGGCACGCTGAGAGCCTTCCACTCGGCGATCAGCGTAGGGCACACGCTTTGTCTTGGTCTTTGGCATTCGGCGGCAGACCAGCGTCGGCTTCAAACCAGCCGAGGTGAGGTTCTGATACCAGCGAGCTGCCTTGGATGCTTGGCCAGCCTTGGAATAAATCTCTGCAATACGGGCGAAAACCGAGCTTTCGCTTTCACCCTCCTTGGCCATGGCCTTCAATGCCCTTGTTCGTTTGGGTCGTCGCGGGGGACTCTTTCTAGAGATATTGAGAGTCAGCATAATGAAAGACACTTTGCGGATGTGACCAAACCGGCTGAAATCCTTGCTCCCCACCGAAACTCCTTGTGTCACTGCCTGACATTTTGCACCGGAATGGAAGGCACATCCTTCCGGTCTGCACAAGGCTGCGCGTGTAGCTTGCAATGCAGCGCAGGCCGCCATTACAGGAGCGTATGCCAATCCTTTGAGCCGATCAAATAGAATCGATCCAAGCGATGCAGACTCACACATCGGAACCCGTGAGCTCTCGACATGACAGCAGGCCTGACCGAGAGGTTCTGAGATTCTGCTTGAGGGAAAAGATCCCAGGTCAGTGGATCTACAAAGCTACTTGCCGTGCACTGTCTGTTGCAGACACGAACCTCTACTTGCTGCAGCCCTGTCTTAGGGCGTCAGCGAGTCACCTTGCTGCAGGCTGAAAGCACAAGCTTTAGGATGCAAGCATGGAAGCCAGAATTCCAGAAACACATCCCGTGAAGCAATAGATTTCTGAGATATTGAATTCAACCCAAGCTTTGGACAGCACAGACCAAGTCGAAAGAATCCCTAAAGCCCAGGAACACCCCTATAAGCCAAACGAAGAAACATGACCGATGCAATTTGGCAAAGAAGCTCGGGCCAGCTTTCACTGGGATGCCCCCGGATGTGGAAAGCGTCATCAAAAGAGTCCAATTTGCCGAAGTATGATCACAAGAACCAGGAAGACGATCATGGCAACGAACACGGGAATGAACCTTCACGAAGCAAAACTGTGGAGTTAGATGTGCAAAGTACACCGAGCCACCTGAGTAGTCGATTTTGTATCTATGCAGCAGAGGTGCTTCTTCCAGAGCCCAAAGTCTGGCCATGCTAAGCCTTGGCAACAAAAGCAAAGCTAGCAAAACATGTCGGCAGCATGCGCAGACATGCACATGCCCCCCCCTGTACATGCATGCACTGCTTGCAGCCGCAGCTCCCAAGGCTGACAAATAAGTGCCCCAATCTCTGCCTGCATTTGCAGCCCAAGCCCAGCCACTTTGCGCAGAGTTCCACACACACACACACACTCTTTGGGACTTCATCCATCCGCCTTCGGTGGGCGTCAGCAGCTGTGGGTCTTCGTTCGGTTCTTCTCGAGCAATGCCGACTCGTCGACCCTGCGCCTTGACAAGGGCAGATATTCAACTAAACCGTCTCTCCATCATGAGACGTTTGGAGCTGCGCCTCTGCTTGCGTAAGGACCTTCACTCGCATCAGGTAGACGGTTTTCGGCAGGTACATGCAGACTAGCACATGCCCCATGCGAAATGAGGGGAGGACATACATCGTCATGTTCACAGAGCCCACATCTTCCTCCATTTACAGCTCGGAGGAAAGCTCAAATCCTTTCTTGCTCCCGGCCTGCTCGCCATCGTAAAAGGTAATGTCGCTTGGACCGATCGTCAGAGCGTCGGAGTCTCGCGCAACCCTTTTAGAAGGCAGAACTTTCAACGCTCCGGTAGTGAAGGAACGAAACGAAAGGTCGCCTTTCCAAGTACTTGCCCAGGTCGAGGTCGAAGCTTCCGAGAAACGTGTCTCCCATCAGCCTCGTCGTCGATTGTACTAGATTTCAAGCAGTTCCGTTTCCACTAGTGGCCCGCATGGTGCGAGCGCGTTCTCTTTCATGCCCGCTGCACCATGACCGAAGAGCAAGACGCAGGCAAGGTGCTCATGATGATGCAAGCTGACGGTCATGGTACAAGACCAGGAAGGCATCTTGATACGTGGGTAGACCTGAGACGCAAAGCGTTCACGAAGAACCCAGTCGACTGTCCTTTGGTCAGGGCACCATTCGCCAGTTGAAGACGGCTTTGCCATCCACAGAGTTGAAATGGACCTTGGCAAGTCTCAGGCGAGCTGCATTGCCATGAATTCTCGCCAGCACCAAATTCCGGCAAGGAGCGTCAGTCTGTTGCAAAGCATCATATTCACCACCATATTCTTTGCAGTCCAGCTGTGTGTGTATTTGCACATTTGTGGAATCACCACTCCTCGCGACACACCGCTACATGCCTGCAACACCGCTCAAGTTTGCCTCACTTGGTGAAGTCGAGGGGATGCTCCAAGCCAAGTAGCATCAGCTTCACACCACTCGCCGTCCAAATAACCAATCGGACTTCCAGCCTGACAGTTGCAAGGTCCGACTATGTCGAATCAGCAGAGACGAGGCATACGCAAATTTGAGGCTCGTAGCTCGGTTGTGGGTGGCTTGCTGAGAGTCGATGGCTTGACGGCAGCAGCATCAGATGATTCAATCATCTCCACCCACCTCAAGTGCACACGACAGATGTCACATGGTCCTACTGCCCTTCAAACCTTCGCCTTTCCCGCTAAGTCTGGTGCATCTCCAGGCTTCCCCGATTTCTGCCCGGAAATTCTGGGCTGTGGAGGGAGCGATTCTCCGTCGGCAGCATTTGCTTCCTGCAGACGCTCGGTGATGCTCCGTGGCGATTCTGTGAACACTCCGGAGCTCCTGTTGCCACTTTGCCACAAACTTGAATGCCATCGATCTTCCAGATCTATGACAGTGCCTGGGCTGGTCCACAGTGACACCAGAGGATGTGAAGGTGCCTAGAGTCCCGGCTGACTCACTCGGAAACTTCCGACGCAATAAGGGTTCCGGCGACCGGAGTATATGAAACTCCGAACACAAGACATCCAACCCAATGACATGATAACTATGGAATGCCACTTCATTTGAAGAAGTTCACATTTGCTATGAACAAGCGTGCAATCGCCCGAGTGCATCCAAGGAAGGTCGACATGTGTGCTGTCAGTCATGTCGGCAATCACCAAATCTATTGATCTATTAGGCAAATCGCCGCCAATGACCGAATCCTGCAGAGCAAGCTCTTCCAGGGATTTGATGGTCACCTGCCCGACACATGTAAAGCTTTGCAAGCAGAGTTCTTTTAGAAACAGGAACTTGTCGCAGCCTCCAGTCGCCAGTCTTCTGGAAGCGAGACGTCTCTGGCTTCGATACGGTGGAAGTCAGGGGTATTTGTCTGCATCTGCGCCATGTTTCGCATTGATATCACGTGTTCCCGCCCAAGGCTCACTTCAATGTACGGATCTGCAAGACCCGTGCTGCTGTAGTGGATGCAGACTGCCTTTACGAAATACAGGCGAACGCGAATTCTTGGTGGCACAGATTCCCCGTCGTGAAACTTCTTGAACAATGTGTCTTCAGAAAAGGCAAACTCATCCAGGGTGTGGTCATGCCCGTAACTTGTTTTCAATTTCATGATATCTTCGCCCTGTATCTCAGCAGGTTGCTTCTCTGCCTTCGTCAGCACGACCTCGTCCAATCCAAGGCCGTCTCCCTCTTCGGCATCGTCGTTTTCATCACCCTCGTCAACCTCTTCGACGTCATCTTCAGGAGTCGACTCCCATCCATCCACCACCTTAAACGCACACTTGACAAATCCAAACACCTCGCCGGTTGTAAAGCTCCAAGAGGAGCTTTCTCGAAAATTCACTGTGTCTTGGTTCTTGCTCAGGCACATGGACCTGTACCAAAAGCAAGAGTCGAAGGGAGCCGAGTTTTCCAAGCTTCCGCTCACAGACTTCCGTGAACCGGCTTCCTTGACTCTGGCGCCCTGCCGCGGTGAAAAGCTAATCTCCTTCCGCATATTCAAGGATTGGCAAGGTATAGCAGGAACCGGCCGTTTCACAGCAAGGGATGATTTCAGAGGTTGTGGCACTCCAGCGGGATCTATGAAACCAGCCTCCTGAACTTCGTCCCGAACCTCCGTCTTTAATCCCTTGTGCACCTGCTGTCTCCATTCCTCAATGCCCTTGCGCAAGTCGTCAAGGCTTTGCTGCTGGAACTTGTCCTTCGCTGCAAGTTGCTGGCGCGCCTCCCGAAGGAGTTTTGTTATGCGATCCTGCTGGGCATCATAGGGTTTCGACAAGCTAACACCATCCAGCCAGCAACAGGGCCGCCTGTCTTGCAGGCTGACCAACACGTCACCGATGTGATACGACTCATAGCCAACCGAAGCTCCAACGGATGATGGCGGCTCATAGACATGAATGACAAGGTAAGGCTCGAAGGGCGCTTTCTCCGGAAGGAGACACTGCAACTTGCCAGCTGTACAGAAGTCAAAGTTCTTGCCCTCCGTGTTCAACGCCATGATCTTGGTGGTCCAAGGCTTCAACCGTTTGGCCCTCTCCATAGTAGCGGCGACCTCGGAAAACTTGAATTCGATTTTGTCCTTGGCATGCTGCTTCCCGGGCTTTGGGGATGCAGCCTTGGATAAAGGAGATGAGAATGAGCCGACCTCAACGGTCACGACGGGCCGAGAAGCATGCACAGTGCCTGCAGCTGAACCCAAAGACTCAACACGCGGCAAAGGCAAAATGTCACGCAGGCCACGGAGAGAAAAGTGGATCGTAGCTCTCCTCAAACGGCAAATGTGATGCCTCTCGTCAAAGCTCTCCGAGGGATGCGGCCACATGTCCCGGGGACCCAGAGACGGCTCATGGCGGTGTTTGTAAAGAAGCAGCTCAAACGCTACTAGCATTTCCCCCACACACCGCGAACCGTTTTGATCTCCAAACAGCTTGATCCACTGTGGCTTCAAGATGTAAGGCTCCCACCTTCCCGCGTCATCCTTGCGACGCATGTGCGAATAGACACAGACTGCCTTCCCAAGCTCCAGGTTTCTCACCTGGCCTTCCTGCCACAGTGAAACCGAGATCGGTTCTGTTGCAGGTGGCTCCCGTGTCGAGTCGGAGCAGAGCAGAATCTTCAGTTCGACAGCCTGCATCCACATCGGTCTCGGACCCGCAATGGCCTCCGTCCTTCTGGACATCCCCGTGCAGGCAACGGTGACGCCGAACTTGCCCGCCATAATGTCACGGCGGATAGAAGAATGTTGAATCTGCCGCGCAGTGAAACAGTAAGCTCGCAGGAGGTAAACCATCGGTTTCACAGGCTTTCTCAAACTTCGCGAGTCAGCATTTTGGAAAGTGGACCGCAGGGAAACTAATACCGAAGCAGATGCACCTGCGTTGCTGTTCAACAGCGGGTGCAAAGGTATCGACACAGGCTTCACGGCTTCTGAAGGGCTTCCTCGAAAGAAATCTGTAATGCGGACGTTCGCGAATGCAACTCGTCTCGAACTCTGCAGATATCCTGACGTGTACAGGCTGATGGTGACTGATGGCTGCGAGTCTTCTGCTTCCTTGGAAGGCGACACAGAATGCAAGTCCTCTTTGGCGGTAGCATTCCGAAACATCACTCGGAAAAGCAGCACATCAAAGCACCAACTTGGCTATGCACTGCAGTCATGGCGACCAATGTCTCGACCCGGCCGGACTTCTCGTTGAAGGAAAATGTTTTGAAGCCCAAGGTCTCTCCTGTCATCCACGGCACTCACGGAGTCTGACAATCTCTTGGCAATCGCGACACGGCAGAGCCACACGCTCCAGTCCTTCATCTTTTTCATCAGCGAATGTATCGGTCCCTGGCAGAACCAGGAATGGTACTAGACTGGCTTGGCTTCTACAAAAAAGGCAGACCGCGACCAAGAGCTGGATAGCTGCTATGACCCGCGGAAACGTTCACTGACACTTGACACTTCGCTCGACACAAATATGTTGGCCTTCAGACGGATCGTCCATAGGAGCAGCATCATAGGAAACCTTAGGCACTCCAAAACCGTCCCTGATGTCCACAAAAGTATTTCTAATTGAATCGGCATCGACAGAATGCAGGCGTGAATCCCACTTCGTAGATCCTTTCACGGAGCCAAAGCTGACTTCAACCTTCGGGAAAGCACGCGAGCTTGAGAAGTTCAGGGAAGGCAGGATGGCGAAAGCTTTAAGGCTCCGACTTGGCACTGCCGAGCTTCTGCCCCAGTAACCTGATTTTGCAACGAAAACCAACAAGACTCAACACCAAGATCTGCAAGTTGTGACGGCAGTTGTGCATACGATGGCACTGCAACAACATAACCAGCAAACAACAGCCTCGACGGAAGAAGCGCACAGTCTCGTAACCTTTGGACTTTAGACGTACACATGCCTCTGCAACTGCACCTAGGCAAGTGGAACGGAATTTCCTTTAAGGTACAGATTGTGTTCATACGCCTTTGCTGTGCCACTGCACTCGTTGTGAACACTCAAGTACAGCGAAGCTGGAACAGCTGAATCACCAGCCCACAAATTTCACCCAGCAGCCATGTATACATCCGCCATGATGGACAGCTGTACCATGGCTGGTTCCAGCTCAAATCTAGCAGGCAATGACTTCTGAGGCTGTAGCTCCTGCACAGAGTTGGCATCTGGCACAACAGAAAGCCGCAAACTTGATGGGGCACATGTCTGCGCGTGCAGGTGACTTAAAGCAAGTTAAGGAACAAGAGAGCTTCCCTGTGTTTGAAAAAGCAAAACCCAGCCCTGCCCATAAAGACACTCCTTTACATGTTTTGCTGAGCAGTGGTCGCTAGTCCAGAACACCACATCTAGACAACCGTGGCACGACACCAAGGGAAGCGAACGCGTCCCCCTCGAACCTGACACGCTCGCCAGGTTTAGTCGCACATGATCCCCGATTTCATTCTCGAGGGTTGTGAGTTGTGGAGGTTGGGAAAATCGAAAATGGGCAGAAGTCGCACCAAGACGAGTCTACACACGACGAGCCCAACAATCAAATGTGATGATTACACTAATTACAGTGAACGTCCTGTAGAAGAACCAACTGCTTGGGACCCTGAGCCCCCCAGCGGGATTCACAAAATTCAGGTTGCTTCAAAATTGAAACCCTTAAGGTACCCTTGCTTTCGGGGTCAAGTTCTTATTTTATGTTGGGTGGAAGTGGTTGTGTTGTGGCTTGGCTTGTTAAACCCCAAACCTTCGACATTAAACTCTCCCAGTGCCCGCATGGCTTGACTGTCGCATGGGCAGGGCAGGAGTGAGCAAAGGCAACATCGAACTAGTGTCACACACAATTTGCTTTTACCCGGGCAGCGGCAGGCAGGGGCGTGTGCTTGCAGTGTGTGCTTGCGTGTTGTGTTTGCTAGCATGTGCACGACAAATTCAAGAAGAATGGAGCCCAGAACGTTGCAAGGCACCAGCAGTTGATTAACACCCAGACCGGAACGAGATCCTGTGGGGAGGCTTGTGAAAGCAAAAACTAGTGATCATTGCCGCGTGGCGTCGCCTCTTTGCTCCTGTTCGTTATGTTTATCGTTCCAGATGGCAAGAATCGAAGTGCTTGCGTTAGAGACCACATCGACGTCATATATGCGAGTGAAGACTAGTCCCGAAGCTGACCGGCACAGTCCCGCTGAGAGTTTGCCGCTGCTTCCACAGGACGTGCACTACATGAGGTTAAAAAACAGCACCAGCATCCGAGACGCGCAATCTAGACTGATCGGACTTTACACAAAACCACATACTCGAGGCTCCAGAAACGACAACTTCCCCGAAAACAACAGCTTCAGACAGGTATGTTCCTCTGCCGGAGCTTGCAGCCCAAGCTCATGATGGCAGATGCTGCTGCGGTGATTCCATTGCAACTTGTGGTCGATGTCATAACCCCCAAGAACGCAACGCAACAGGTAGAAAGCTTCCTGTTTATGTACTCGCAAGGAGCGATAGGACTAGCGACACTCCTCGTCGGCGTCCAATGGCTCAACGGATCCAGACACGAGCAGACGCCCTTCCAGCGAAGCCAATTGATGCCCTATCCACTGACAAGCAACTGCCCACAGCGCAGGCCTTTGAAAACATGTGCCTCTGGCTCCTGGCAGTACATGCAAACAGAGCAGCGACATGACTTCCTGCCTTTTTTCCGGTCCTTGTCTCCACCGCTTGACAGCTGCAACTCCTAAGTTTGCCAATGTTCCAAAGAAAAAACGGCCGCAACGGCAACTAAAGCAACGATTTAGTGATAATTCGGAGTCGACATTCAACGACTAGAAAGCAGGACGTTGCAAGATCCGGTGGTGGTGAAAATTTCATCACGGGACTAAACAGCCGTACCAGTCTGACTGGACATGCTGAGTCTGCTATGAACTCTCCGAAACCCAAAAATCCAAAAACAAAGGCGAGACGAGGGATGACAAGGCACTCTGTGCCCTGGCTTAGTGAACGAAGTGTCTGAACAAAGCGAGAGTCTGCGAGCTCGTCTGCATCCCAACCGTACAAGTTGAACCTGGACATGGCAATCACACGTGTCTCATCGCAGCATGCAAACCTCAGACCTTCTGCTGAGAACCTCCAAGTCCTGAAGATAAGGGGAGACAAGATACCACCGCGGTGGCAAAGCATGACTTCGCAGTTCACTGAAAGAAAGAAGCCCCTGGGCCAAAAGCTCCTCGGAACATAGGAACTTGCTCTTGACGGCTGTCCGATAACTGCTGCACTCTGACTCTGACTTGCAAAGCGGGCACATCCGGCGAGAACCAATTGCAACTCCATAGCTTGAGAATGATGGTGTCCTCACCGTGTGACTGAAAATTCTCAGGCACAGCTGTCTGGCAGGACAATGGGCAGCACATCGCACCATCACATTGTCACATGCCACATCGTGCCGGGCTCCTCATAAACTGGAGTGACGACTGGAATTTGAAGGCACTCGTTGAACGTGTACTGTCGCACCTGCTTGCCTGGCGAAAGCCCCCTCCTTTTCTGCTCCGCTGGAAGCGAGATTTGAACAATAACAACGCGTTTTGCGCGAAAGTGGCCCCCAGCGCCCAGCGGCCTGTCGAAGTCTTCACCAGGCAGCCGGCGAACTCAACTGTGACGTAGGGACTCGGTGCCTCGCCGCAAGGCTTTTCGGCAGAACATGCTATATGCCGCTACCAGCGTAATACTAGTACCTGTAGTACCTCTCAGGTCTCAGGATCGCGCTCCAGCATTGTCCTGCAATTCCTCACAGCACAAGCCGGGCAGCTCAACAGTCTTCGTGCCAACGCACCGAATCAGCTCTTCGTGCCCATATTGGCATGAACCCGACTATCCGCTTGACAGGATCGTCTCAACTCGTCCTCCACACGGAACATGTTCAAGCGTACGTAGTGCGCGCGTCCTGCAACCCCGCAGAACAACTTCGATATCAATCAGGACATCCCATTGGTTGAGGCAGGTTCACCAAGAGTTCTGGAAGGGAAGTGCAAACGGCACCTGCTTGGGCATCGACGGACTGTGTCAACACTGCACTTTCCAGGCCCTCGTGGTCCGCCTGGCTTGCCTCAGTCGCAAACATCAACATCAGCTCGGCGCAAGGCCAAGTCACAAAATCGGTTGGATCTTAGACTGCAGCGGCTGCTTCCTCGCCGGCTTCGACTTGCTCTGAAGTCTCGGCCATGCAAAGTTCAAAGTTGCATGTGAGCCAGTATACCATCAAGGAGCACCAAGGACCTGACCTGAAGTGACAAACTTGGAGCAAGCTCAAAAGGCTTTAGGACGAAGATGGTCACGTTGATGGTGCCGGTTACCGCAGGACTCAGGGCAGGAAACTACTTTTCCAAACAAAAGCCGTTCGCGTGCCAGCAGCAAAACGACCGATGCCTGTCGTCTCGCCGCAGTGGAAGCCATCGACGAGCATACCTTGTCTGAAGGGTCGCAAACGAAAGACCCTCTTCACTCTTTCTAAACAACACAAGGGAAACACCAACACATACGCACACACACACACACACCTGCAAACTCGCACGCACATGAGGACGACTGTGCAGACTGCTTACACTGGTGTGCATATGAATGTAAGATGCATGCAGACATACTGAACACCCACAAACAGCCTTACACACCTACCGACCTACCTCTACCTGTACTCTATACCGACAGAGAGACAGACGACAGACCGACAGACAGACGCAGACAGACACAGACAGCCACAGACAGAGACAGACCGACAGACATGCAGACAGGCAGGCAGGCCGGCAGACGGACAGACAGACAGACAAACAGACAGACAGCTAAGCAGACAGAAAAGCCGGCAGGCAGGCAAACAGAAAGACTGACATCCATCCATCCATCCATCCATCCATCCATTCACGCAGATGCTTCTCTTTTTCTCATGTTCTTGACATATACTTATACATTCGTTTATTCGGTGCATTTATCTATAAACACCTCCACATGTTCTCCATATGTGCCACAAACACTGCACGAACCTACCCAAACACAAACTGGTGTTTGACGCTCAGTGTCCATATCAACCTGCTATTTCATGAGATCGACACGGACTCTTTTCTGGAGAGGCTCAGATGATGCTGGCGCTTGTTCACGAACGACAGCTGCAGAGATGCTTTTCCAATGAGGAAGTTTCGCGTGAACCAGTTCCTGCCAACAACACCACACTCAGCTGCTCAAACACGGGCAACCGGCTTTGTCAGCAACCGCATCGCTCAACACCAATTTGAAACATGGTATCTGCAACTGCGGAGGCCTTGCGTATACTTTGAACTCAATGAAAGATGACTCGAACTCCTTCGGATAAAGTCCAATTCTCGGCCAAGTACAATGCTCATTCCTCACAGCAGCAGGAGCTGTCGGCATGCCAAACTATAGGAAAGAATGGAAAGGACATGTGTCTCGCTCAAAACTTAGCAAAGCTCCAAGGACAAAGAGAACTGCGACGCTCCAGCGTTTCTGTCTGGTACGAATACCCACAGCATTCAATGAGAACCTCGGTCAAGCGGTCGATGCCATGGTGCAAGCAACAAACTGAGACGGCGAACGATGTCGCACCACATGATGTCCACTGGACCAAGTGACAAAAGGATCACAAGGCGCTCCGTCTTGTGATTGCAAGCTTCTTCCTTCAAAAATCCGGAAGCCTCGTGGCAGGAGACTGTAAGCAGCTTGCATTGCAAGCTCCAGCATGCAACTCACCATGCGCTGACAGCCGCCTACTACGTAGTCTTGCATGCAGCAGCGCCGGCACGGGCTCAGGCAGAAATGCCGGCTAACTAGGACAGTTTTGCAAAGACATGGTGTAGTTAGAATGTAGTTGAACAGTTTAGCACATGATTTGCACATGTAGAACTACAAAGAGCAGCAAAGCAACTGATCTTTCATGTGGATCAAGAGGACTTTAGAAGTTCTGAACGTGCCCTGTTTGCTTTTGACTATGTCGTACTCGAAACTCAGGCAAGAGCCGATGTGAGCTAGATGACGCCCGCATGTGCAACCGGTTGGTTTAAGCCTAAGGCATGTACAATGAAACAAAAACGAACATGAGTTTATTGAGCAAAACCCACACCTCGGTTCGATTATGCTCCTCGTGTGTCTGCGGCTGGCTGGCTCATCCGGTTTTGGAGTGCGTGCACGTTGACTGCCCTGCATTTTTCAATACTGCCGCTCACTCAACGCAACAAATTGAATCGAAGAAACAACATGTGGACTCATCACTGCCACGAAACGACTTGGTTTGCACCATTCCCAATTGACTCGCCTACCCGTGGGTTGGATGGCAACACTTGCCGAGCTTTGTAACTTTCGTTGCGAGGATTACCCATTGCCCACCGCAGTCAATGGCGTCAAAAGTGTGCGTAAGGAACATGAGTGGCCATTTGGTCGTAGATTGCCTTTTTGAGGAGCTTTCTCGTTGTTCTGATTCTGTAGCTCCAGCAACGGCAACTAGGAGTCGCCTTTGCGAACTACTTTCTTTGAGGTGCCCAAAGATCCACAATGCTGCCCAGGTCGCCAACAGCTCAGCTGACGCTCCGCCTACTGTGATTTTCCACCTTCGTCGAAGAGGTACGGCGCATCGACAGGCGAACCGGGGGGCACCGAAGCGTCCTTGCTGGATTTCCAACCTTCCAACACAACAACCGTCATCGTACTTCGCATCCCTCATGCTGGCCCGGTGCCACGTTGTTCTAGAAAGGCTTGCACTGCTCTATCACTTGCTGCCATCTTTTATACCGTATTGGATCTGTAGGGCTCTGCGGCTAGCCCGGAGGTGCCAAGGTCGTTCAGCCCTGAACACGCGTGGTGGCACAGCCCCACAACCCAGCCTTCAGCTACTCTGTGGTCCTCCAGCGAGGCCCGCTGCTCACACAAGCTGAGCTTGCTCCTTTGCCACGGTTGGCTTGCCTCAGGTTCGCCGTCTAGCCCACTTGCCCATCCTCAGCTGCCTTCTCCGTGCTCCCTAGTGCCCTAACCCTTTCGGTTCTCCACCCGAGCCCGCCCTGCCAGGTACTGCGGTCCACGAGCCCGACATCGTCTTCATCAACTTCAACGTCGCCCACTGACAGCATTTTCACACTGGCTAAGTCTCACGGAGCACTCTTGTCCTGCCTCAGGTCGGCCGCTAGCCTTCTGCCTTCTTCCGGGGCCTCGCCTGCTGAGGCCCCTTGCAGCGCTGCCTTACATTCTCAGCCTCTGAGAATCAGTTTCACGCTCCTTCGGAGCTCCCAGTTTGCCTTTTCAGAAGTTTCACGGACTTCTCACAAAGACTAGCCTTGGGGGAGTTTATGCCTTGGCTAGCCCTAAAAAGGCCATGCAGAAGGCTGAGGCCGGGGCCGAATGTGCAAAGCCTAGGTGTGGGCGGGAGGGGCTTTTCGAGAAAACTCAAGTGCTAGAGCCAGTGCTGCGATGTGCTACAGATTCACATGCCTTCTGAAACATACGTGAACAAAAACACGAAACGTTCTAGAAAGGCTTGCACTGCTCTATCACTTGCTGCCATCTTTTATACCGTATTGGATCTGTAGGGCTCTGCTGCTAGCCCGGAGGTGCCAAGGTCTAGAGGGCTAGCCAAGGCATAAACTCCCCCACTTCAGGGACAGATCCAACCGGTAAGGCAGCAGGCAAGTATCCCCCACCGCGGGCGGTGGAGGTGGACCTGAGCAAGGCAGGAAGGAATGGCCATTTAGCGTGCAGACGGGGACAAAGCGAGCAGCCGTGAATGCAGCGATCCTCTTTTCGCTTCGGCATGGCTGTCCTGAGTCGGTCTCGGCGAAGCCGTCACGCCGGTATGGGCAACAATGGGCTTGTTGTACCTGGGGATCCAGACCATGTGGCCTGAGATGCCGCCGAGGCAAGGCGGTGGAGGCTGATTCTCACGCGTTCTTGCGGTCTACGGCTGAAGGCTTGCAGCCGACCTCGGCTGAGGTCATCTGCCCATTGGTTGTGTGCTCCTGCAACGTGAGACACCTGTAGGTCAACCCCATGGCAGGATGACCATGATGCTATCAGCTGCAGGAACTGCGAGAGGGGCCAGCTGGTAGTGAAAAGCTTGTTAATGCCCGCCTCGGAGGGTGTGTTATCGCTCTGCGATGGCAGGCATACCGAAAACTGCGAGAAGGCGTGGCGTTCTCGGGCCGTCATGGCTAGTGCTAGCTGAGCCAGCGTCTCAAAGCAGGCGATGTATTTTTGGGCATCCTTGGTGAGAAAAGGCCATGTGCTCCTGACTCCTGACCTCGTCCATGGTCCAGGCTTCGGCAAACCAGGCCATGCTGTGTTTGGTGGTGATCCATCCCCCGATGCCGATTCTGTCCCCTTCGGCCATGGCGTCAGCTCTGGCTAGGCACGCGACCAGGGGCGGAAGTGATAGGCTTGTGGTCGGGATGGCCTCAATACGCGGCAGGAGCCAACGTAGGCTGTCCTGGGCAGTGTTGGTCAGCTTGATCTCAGGGCAAGTGGGATCCGAGATGCGGACCCAAGTAGGTCCCGAAGACTTAGGCTGCGGCGGGAGGTCGGCTTTGCAGTGCACTGGTCGACTGCCGACCTCGATGATCCGGGCCTTGAGCGGCAAGTTGACTCCTGGTATGAGCCTGCAGACGACAGCTCTGGAGTCAAGGCTGTGGAGGAAGGCTGGCCACATTCGAGGGGAGATAGAGCAATTGCTGCCCGGAGGGCTGTTGAGGACGCTGTACAGAGGCGCTACATGGGCTCGAAGGACCTTGCTGATGGCTGTCGCCCACATGAGGAGGCCTATACAGGCTTCTAGGTCTTTTCTGGGGACCTTCTTGCGTGCCAATAAGGCCTTAAGCTGACCACAAAGCTTGGCTCGTTTGGCCTCGCAAAGCTCGACTGTTTCAAGGCGAAAATTAAAGTGCCAACCGCACCAAACCAGGCTGTCCCCTACTGAGGCCTTTTTCCAGCTAATCGGAGCGGCAAGGCTTGACAGCGTAGCTATGAGAAGGAATAAGAGTTCAGGCGCGAAGGCTCGGAGCAAGGCTGAAAGGAGATAACCGACATAAAGCCAGGCTTTGTGTGGGGCGAAGGCTAGAGCATGGTGCGCAATACGCGTAATAAGGCCTCCCACTCGCTGCCAGCAGTAGGCTGAAACTTGGCTCCAAAGTGGCAAACAACGTATCTGTAAAGGATTTTTTCGAACATGAATAGGAGGAGACCTTGTTCCGAGCGGTGGACCTTGACTCGCTTGTGGGCTGCCTTGAAGTCGACACTGGCTGCGAGGAATGACCCCCGCGGGTCTGAGGGCATGAAGGTGGCCCGGACATCGTTGACTGTAGGCATAGCAACCGCTTCGGGGATGCGACACATGGGGTTGACCTGGCAGACCGTGCTATCCAAGACTAGTCGAGGGTCTCTGTTCTCCGCTTTCACAAGGCTGAGCTTGCCGACGGCTATTCCCTTGGGCCAAAGTCGTTTGGCTTCATCGAGGCCGCCTGTCACGGGCTGTATCCATCCTGCGGCTTCTTCTTCTGCTAAAAGGCTTCGTACTGTGTCCGGGTCTGCCTCAGCCGGCTTCCAGTTCCCCTCGCAGACCTCCAGTCCTGATGAGGCCAAAGGCTGGATCTTGGCTAGCGGCCAGAGCCCTGAGGCTGAATGGGATCAAAGACTCCTGTGTGCACCCCGACGCGTAGCATGGCTGGGAGATCTTTGTCTGGGTCGTTGAGGAGATCTGCAAAGGCTTGCATAAGATTAAGGCGAAATGGCTGTCCTTCGGCCGCTTGCGTCATGGAGTCGTAGTCCCACTCCATGACCTCGCAGGCTATCCGAATGAGCTCGAGTTGGTCTTCTTCAGGGATGGGGTGATCTGGCTTGCTTTGTGAGAGGTGTGCAAAGACTCGTTTGGGCAGGTCGCGCTGGGATGCCCATTTGAGCCAGGCTTGCATGATGTCCTGCATGGCTGCAGGGCTCGGCTGAGGTCGGCTCCAGTCCGCGGAGCTGGCGTTGCCGGCCCCATCACATATGGGGGCCCTGTCGTTGGCCAGCTCCCCATGGCTTTGCAAGGCTAATGCTAGAGTTGGAAGCTGGGCGGGTTTGGTAGAAAGAGGCATGGCCGCAAACATGCCAGCCGCTTCCAAGGCTGCGAGACCAGGGTCTGCACAGGGCCACGTGGGTAAGGGAGCTGTAGCTAGGAGTACCCTATGTGAATCTGGCTCCGCCGTGAGGCTCCGATAGTGTACTTTGGGCAACGCCGGAGCAGCGTACATCATTATGATGTATTTTGTTTCCACTGATGTTTTATAGTTCCAACATCTCCAGCACGGAGATTTGACTATATCTATGCGCTTGAGTCGGGACGAAAAACAAAAAAGAACCCCATAAAACCCCACTTTTGGCTCAAACTTGTCAGCGCCTCGAGAGAGAAAAAAGAAGAAGACTATATACATTCATACATACAGCATAGATATATATTATACACATGCACACTCTCATACACACTCTCAGTTTTCGCTCGCTTGAACTTGCAAGCCTCCCAACATCTCAAGCCCTCATGTCCTTTTTGCAAGATTTCAGACGATCGAGTCGAAGCACTGCTCGCGGCTCTGCTGTCCGAGAGTCCATGGCAGGTTCGAGAGCATGCAAGTTTCTTCTGCTGCGACAGACCCTCTTCTCGAAGCGACAATTCTCATGTGTTGCGCTTGCATCTTGAGGGATGCCGGTTTATATGACGGAGCGAACTATAGAGTTTTCTTGAAGCAGAGCTCTGAATGCCATGAGCTCCCTTT